TATACATGAGTGATCAATCAAATAATCATTGACTATTCTCAGTGGTTGTTGTTGAAAACACATAGTAACAAACATACATCAATTTAAGAAATAGCATAGGAACAATACAAACATTGCAGAGTTGTGGACAGATTGGTAGGAAATCATCAGTGGCTGCTACAATACATGTTGGCATCCTCAAAGTAGTTTCTCAGGAAAACAAAGATATGCAAGAAAGATCCAACAAGTAGTTGCAGCCCAAGGGTTGCGAAAAATAGCGGATTACCTCCTCATCAGTGAGTCCCCTCACTGAGGTGTGACGGCTGGAAGGAAGGCCAGGGCTGAAAAGAAGGACCGAGAGACCAGCACCAGTGTCTAGCACCGGACCATCCACTTTTTCCTCTAGAGTCATGATTTTGCGGGGCTCCTCCTTGGAGACAATGGTATTTTGTAGCTTTTACTGCTTTGTTTTTTATCTTTCTCCTACTAGAATTTAAGCTCCATGAGAGTAGGGTTTATTATTTTAATCAGTATCTATAACAGTGCTAGTTATAGATAAAATGTACACTAAATATCCTTAAACAGGTAAGCAAATGAAAATGTAGCAAAACAAAAAAATGTTTAAGAGTTTTAGATAATGAGATAATGGTGGTCAGTTTTATCTTTTATAAATTCAATTTGACAGTAGCAACTTTAGGGAATAGTCCTTAACTAGTTGTAATTCTAGCCTCTCCACTTCTCTACACATAGTACTAAGTCCTCTGCTCAAAACCTGCTTCAGAATACAGACTAGTTTCTTATGGAAATGATAAAGTTAGAATATATATTTGTTTAAAAAGTATGTATATAAATAAAATATACATAGGTATAGCAATCACCAACTATGATGGCTTTAATCTAAAAACATCAAGCATTAGCTAGAGGTTCCAAAAGTACTTAGAGAAAACTGACCCATAATATTAAATAAAAAGAATGACAAGACAGGTATTGAGCTCCCACTTAGGGCAGACATCTATCCTAGGTACTTATATCATTTAATTTAACCCTTGTAACTGTATTATCAATTAGATAAGGCGTATAAGGCACTAAGAGGTCAGATAATATGCTGAAGTCACAAAGCTCAGAAATGCTAAAGTAGGGATTCAAATCCAAGAAATGTGATTCTCAGGTCAGGCTGATAGCTACTATATTAACAAATGGTAAAGTACAAAATCCAGACTACAATAATGTACTCTCTCAGTATAAATATGTGAAATCAGAAATCTGAACCAGGGAAGCAAGATCAGAAAGCACGGTAGATCTAATTCTCAATTTGGGATCCATTTCTTACTCACTCTGTGAGCTGGGAAAGTTACTGTGGCATCTCTGAAATTTAGGCACTGCGTCTTAAAATAAATATCGCTTCCCCAAGTAATATATGTGGTAATTGCTATTTAATTTTTTTTTTTTTTTTGTACACCAGAGGCCCTCAGAGCATTTTTTCAGAGCTTTCACTTTTGTATCTAGAGAGCACCAGCTAATAATTCACCACTGAAAGGAAGGATCCATTGGTTATGGGTGACAGTAGTATGTGGTAATGAAGACCAGTTATAGAAATGGTCCAGTATCCAGTTTCTTATGAGACCCTGAAGATGGGAATTGATTAATCAGAAGCACTCATTTAAAAGAGGGTAAGATGAGCCCCTAACAGCTGTGATTTACCTAGGAAGATGTGTCTAGTGTTGGTCCTCTTTTATTGCTGGTTCTTAACTACATGCTGAGTCATTTAGTGACAAAGCAATGACACCCCACAGGAAAGCCTTATTTACTATCATAGAAAACCAGTAGAACTATAAGAAAATACTTGATTATAGCCCCTTTTTAATAAAGCCAAACTGTTGATATAAAATGAAAATTAAAACTGTTAGCCATAGTTCAAAATACTCACTCTAAATTTATTAAAAATAGAATAGTTTTGAACATCCTTTGGAACAGCAGGGTCATTTGTCAACATTAACCACACATAGGACATTTTAGCAGCTTAGCTATTTCCATTTTCATCCTTTTGAATAGGGAATCTAAGATGTGATACATTAACTGTATTCTTTTCACATAAGATTCAAAACAGTTTCTTTTTATAGAAAAGAAATTTTATACTGCCTAATAAATTAACCTGCTAAATACCCACTGACTTGCAGCTGTTAAAATTTTTCAGTTTTCAAAACATGAGTCTCCTCAAGACTATTTTGGGACCTACAGAATTATTTTATAGTTATTGTGGAAAAAATTACCACCTGGTGTAATTTCAATGCGGTCTGAATGTCCTCCATGGGTCAACTGTGATTAAAGTCTTGGTCCCTAAGGTATCACTATTGTGATAAAGTGGAACTTGTGGATGAGGAAACCTAGGGTAGGAAGTCCTTAAGTCATTGCTGTATGTATGTGGGAGGAAGCCTTCAAAAGAGATTATGTGACACCAATCTGTCTCTGACTACTTGTTTGGCAATGTAAGCCATTCTACACATAGGCACTTTGAACATTATGTGACTGCAGCTGGAAGTGTTTTTGTTAGGACTGAGCCAATACGGGCACCATGCCCTTGAACCTCTAAAACTGTGAGCTGAAAACCACTTTTCTTTATAGATTACCTGGTTCAGGTATTTCCTTGTGGTAATGTAGAGCTAATAATACACCATCCATGTGGAATTGAATTCATCATGGAAACACTGAAGTCTTTAATTATAATAGTGCTCTAGGGCTCAGCTGGAAGTTTATTTAAAATTTTATTTGAAATTTTGTTTAAAATTAAAATAAATTTATTTAGAATATTTTAAGTTCATTTAAAATATAATTTTTTTCCTATACATGAAACCTATGATAAAGTTTAGTTTATAAATTAGACACAGTAAGAGATTAACATCCCTACTTTTTCACTGATTAGTAATTTTAATAAAAGAGATCACAGAGGGGTGAAATATGGCACTTTCAGTGCTATCTCCTGGAAGGACAGGCCTTCGAAGCGTCAGAGTTCAAACTAGGACCATTTAAATGGGTAGACAGATCGTCAAGGTTACAAGTATTAGACAGGAGCCTTTAGACAAAGACGGTCAGTGGTCAGATGGCCTACTACACCTCTTAGTTTTTCTTTCAAATATTAGGTGCTAAAATAAAACTTATTTTAAAAGATTCTTAGATGTCTTGGACAGTTTCTCAGTTATCTGTGCAAAGTTCTGATTTAGTTGTATAGAGTTTGGTTTGAGTCTATCTGTAAGTCCAAATCGTGTTTTGTATCAAAATTTATGTTAAGAAGCACTCTTTGGTCTGATAAAATATCCCTCAGGTATCCTTCAGGATACTTTTTCTATTTTCACAGCACTTAATCTAATCTTCATCATAGGACTTTCAGCAATGCACACAAATTAGGAAAACCTTGATATCAGGCAGAATGGAGGGCTTCGTAAATGCTGGATGGAAGCTAGAGGTCTTTCCCTCTGAGTTTCCGTTTGATTCTTAAGTAATAAAGCTCAGCCAAGAGTTATGCCATGTTTGGATATGTCGTTTCTGTGTATGTCAGTATGATATCTCTCTGATGTACTGAATTTGCACTTTCCCATAACTGAAGATACCAGAGATAACCACTTAAGAGCTCTGAGATGCTGTTCTGAGAACACATCTTTAGGTTCCTGAATAATATGTTCCACTGTTGGCACAGGTAGGGTTAATTGAGATAGTTGAGATTAGCTGAGATAGTTGCCTTACTGAGAGCTACAAAAATTCCCAGGGAGTTTTATTGAAATACCACGTTTTTAGTTGCCAAATTTGTGGCTCCCTCAAAGCCAAACTTACAAAGTTCAATATTCTCTGTCACTTCACTGACTAAATGCAGAACACAATAAAGCTAATGGCTGAGAAGACATCATAGGTTTGCCCTGGAGTTTTTTCCCAAAGGCCTATGTAAAAGGCAAGACATTTTTAAGGTCAAAAATTACTAACAGTGAAATCAAGATCTGCCAGTGCACTACTCAGTAAAAATGTTTGGCCAACTGTAGTTATTTCATCTAATACTTGTATCACTATTTATACTATCTAAACATAGAACAAGTGCTTGTAGGAAGGCCACTAGAATTTCAAAAGCATCATGCCTCCTTTCCACTGAGAAAGGGATGTTTCCTTCAGGTCGTTTTGTCGCTGTTGTTGTTGTTCAGGAAAAGAACAGAAATTTTATTGTCAAGTTCAAAATGCGGTTGAAGTGACTGATGGAAAAAAGAACAAACCTCATCCATTGTACCTAATACAACAGATACCCCCACCATAGGCGGGGTTTTGCCAATATCTTTAAGGCATAGGAAGAGCAGAGTGTGAATGCCTTGGAGATATTTCTCAAAAAGTATAGAGCAACAACTTTCCTTTTGGAAGAAAATCCAACTGGGCACAACTTAAGTCTGGCCATGACAGTATCCCATATTTCGTCCCCATTTTTTGATTACTGTTGTGTGAAATGTCAAAATTTCTGCATGGACATTATAAGGGAGGAAGCCCACAAATTCCTCTGCCAGGTTATGACATTCACTGACAAACCACCAACAGGGGTAGGTGCTTCTCCCCTGCTAGATTCATTGCTTTGTCAGTGATAATGGAAAAGATGTCTGAGTTTTTCACTTCCCTGAGAGATTCCTTCCTAATACAGCTCTCAGATCTGTAGCATCTATTTCTGCTGTGTTTTAGAACAGAGGATGTGTTAATTTTAACCTATTTATCTATTTTGGGAAACCACTTCTCCCAGATTTGTATAGTACTTTGTTTTGGAAAACCAGTGTAGCTGACTGGCCTTTAAAAAAGTTGCATTTTTTTTAGCAATAAAAATTCATTATAAGAATGAATATGGATGGTAAAGACTAATTTTTGAATTTCATAGCAATGATAGAAATGAAAGATGAATACTGGGTGAGTGTGAGTATCAGTCTTTATGAAGAATTTGGTTTTGTGTAATCTAGTGAAGCAGTACAAGTAAGTTAGACTGCCAATGTTGTTTGCCTTCACAGGTCTATAATGACAGATCTATACTACCTCAGTCAAACAGATGGAGCAGGTGACTGGCGGGAAAAAGAAGCCAAAGATCTAACTGAGCTGGTCCAACGAAGAATAACATATCTCCAGGTAAGAAGGTTAGGTTGAGAAATAAATTTTGAGTGAAAAAAGAAGAAAAATCATAATAAAACTAAAACTAAGAATTACTGCTTGTCTTCCAAGCCCTTGTTTTTTGAAATTATTCATTTTGTATATTTATTCAGGGACACAATGTGGTGCCTTGAGTGGAACACAAAAGTGGCTAAAACAAGGTCCCTGCCTATCTTAGCTGCTTTCTTGTTTCTGAGACACAATACCTAACACTGATGAATATTACACCCTAATGATCTAGTGACCTCCTCAGAGCCCCACCTGTGAATGAGCACATGAGGCTTCCAGGGACATCTAGATACAAACCACAAGGCACTCCTAAGAGAAGCTACTTTGTATGCACACATACACAAAGCCTGTAATGCAATTATGGACCTGCTGCATTTTTCATAGGAGAAAGAACATGAAATGCTTATTGGAGTTTGGAGAAGTAAACGTCAGAGATCATTTTATAAATTGAACTGAATTGCAAAGGGTAGTCAGGTAGAGTTTGGACACATATAAATAGAGGGGGAAAAAAAGACCAACTGGAGGATATGATGTGAGCATTAGCCTATTTCCAGGAAAAACTAGTATGGGACCCCAAATGAGAAAGGTAATTCAGGTCGTCTGGATGTTTAGATTGTATGAAAAGGAGGGATGGAAAAGAAGCCAGAAAAGTAGGTTTGGAAGCAGATTGCAGAGGTTAAGCTCTGTGGTATTAATGCAGTAAGTGCTTCACAAAAATTTTTGTTTTGTAAACGTTATGGTAATAAATAGGAAATCTTAATTTCTGTATTCTAGCTCTTACTAATGTGTATATGTAGTATTACCTACTTGTAGGGAAAAAAATCTATGTTTGAAATTTGTTTTTCTGCTCATTATATTACAAGCATTTTTCTATTTTTTAATTAGTACAAGTTTGCAGTGATGTTTACAGTCTTTGTGTGGAGTTGGTACATGGACAGTTAATATCTTAATTCCTTTTTCCATTCCCTTTCACTTTCCTCCCTAACCCTCCTCCCGGGTCTTGAGTCCTTTCCATTTGAGAAAGACCCTCCCTACTTCCTATTATCTTTTATTTCACTCTTTCTTTATAGTTTGGGTTTCTCACATACGAGAAACCACGCAATATTTAAGCTTGTGTGTCTGATTTATTTTCACTTAACGTTATGGTCTCAGGGTACATCCATTTTTCTATAAATGACTCGAGTTTATCTTTCTTTATGGCAATGTAGCTTTTAAAAGGTTTTAACATATAAGAGTGGCCTGGTAACAGTGGTGCTTTATTTGATATTAATCTGAAAGTGGTGTTTTGGTTGAACTATACAGTATTAGTATTTGAAGAGTCTAGAGGTGCAGAGGTCATTTAAGATAGGAGGACCATAGCGTAGGTGAGAAATATTGAGGAGTGTGACAGTTTGCATTGGAAGTGAAGAAACACAGTTTGAGACTGGGGAAATGGAACTGATAAGCAAGCCTTACCAAATGGGGGAAAGGGTTGAAATGGCTGGGAATGGGAGTGTCATTAACTGACAAAAACCTGAGCCAACAGTTTTCAGGAGAAAACAGTGAATTGATAGAATTCTTCAAAACTGAACAGTGCTTAAAAGTGAATGACATGGACCATCTTCCACCCTACTCTTTTCTAATGCTATCGATGGCATCGTTTCTGTGTCTAGTCACTGTGCATTCAAGATTAAAAGCAAAATGGGAGCCAGATATGTTTTAAGGTGCAGATTTCCCTACATGTAAGTATTAAAAAAAATGTTTATAGAGATCATTAAATGCCAGCTTGATCTTGGCATGCTGTCTTGGTCTCATACCCCCGTGACCATTTATCAGAGGACTGTGCAGAATGAAAAACACTTCACCTTCTATAGGGAAGAGGTAGTTTTCTCCTGTCAGTTTTCAGTGAACTGTGAACAGCTGGTGCTGGAGAACCATCACCTTTATTTAAAATGGAAATAATAGTTTCTGAGCTTTTTCCATCTCTACGTAATCATTCGGTTTTTACCCATTATATTTAAACTATGATCTGGTCATAGTTCAGCACCCTGTACTAACAAGTACCTGCCACTTCCTTTAGGTTTATTTTCTTTCTCTCTCTCTCTCTGTGTCTCTGTGTCTCTGTTTTTAAGCAGCCATGTCCTTTCACCTATATTAATTTGATCTTCTGTATCCTGATTTATGTTATATGTTAGAGAATTTCACTTAAAATTCATATTCATGGTTTAAAATTACACTGACTTCTTTAATTCTTTAAACCGTAGCAAAGCATTTTACTTGGACTTTAACTTAAATTTCAAATACCGCAATTTAACAAATCCTTTTATGCTTTTTTTGTCAATTGAAAAAGAAAAGGTAGCATTTTAATATTCAAGGAGTGGCAGAAAATCTCAGTAGGAAAGCTATACTGCTAGTCTGGTGTGGTGGTGCATGCCTGTAATCCCAGCACTGGAGAGGCTGAGGCAGGAGGATTTCTACAAGTTCAAGGGCAACTTGGACTACATAGTGAGTTTAGGGGCAGCCTGAACTATACAGAAAGACTCTGTCTCAAAAAACAAAAACAAAAAAAAAAAAATAAAGTTATACTTCAGAAGAATATTTTTCTTTTATTAAGTCTGGCAGGTTTTCATCATTTAAATGTTTTATTATATTTTTGATAAACACTTCATGTAATTCTGTATCTTTCAATGCTCAGCTTAGAAACTACTGATTAGGTATTTGAAAACATTTTCAGATTTACTTTTTAAAATTTTTTATTTTTTATTAGTGTGTGTTTGCAGTACATAATGATTACATTCCTCGTGGGGAATTGGCACATGCACATAACACATCTTAATTCTTTTTTCATCTTCTTCCCCTCCCCTCCTTTCCCTCCTCCCTGCAAAAGATCCACTTCTACCTGTCTTTCATCCTGTCCTTGATTTATATTTTGGGTTTCCTCATATAAGCGAATATGATTTTTAAGCTTGTGAGTCTGATTTGGAATTAACCTAATCAAGAAAGTGAGATACTTCTGCAACAAAAACTGCAGTATTCTCTCTAAAGAAGAAGATTAAAGAGGACATTAGGAAATGGAAAGATGTCCCCTGCTTCTGGATAAGCAGAACCAATATTGTCAAAACGGCCATACTTCCAAAGCTGCTATATGGATTCATTGCAGTCCCAATCAGAATATAAATGGCATTCCTCAGAGGACTAGAGAAAACAGTGATAAAGTTCATATGGAGCTAGAAGAGACCCAGAATAGAAAAAGCATATCCGAGGCAACAAGAACAAAGCAAGAGGCATAGTCACAATCCTGGATTTCAAGTATAGTTACAGTGATAACATAGCATGGCGCTGGCATACAAACTGACATGTGGACCAGTGGAACAGAATAGAACTGACATGTGGACCAGCGGAACAAATAGAACAACCACAGGTGTGTTCAACTGTCTAATCTTTGACAAAGTGGACAAAAACGTAGGCTAGAGGCAAGATTGCCTCTATGTTTTTTAATAACACTAATGAAATTTATTACCAGCTCTGATTAACAGCAATAACCATTTATTAAGTGCTGATTTTTCAAATTACAGTGCAAAAAATAATCCATAGAACAACAACAAACAATAATCCAGAGCAATTAATTTAATAGCAGGTTTCATTTTTAAGCTTTCTTTCCATAATTTTATGATACTGAGCCAATATCATAATTTCTCAGGAAAATCATACAGGTCAGCTGTAAGATGAACTTTGATCTCAGTTTTAGGTTTCCATTCGTCCTAGGTCTTGATTTTACTTGGATTAGCAACTGTCTAGAGATTAGCAACTGTTTAGAGATGCTGGAAAATATAAAAGTACTTTGGGCAGCTAAATTTCAATGGGGTGAAGTGCAAAATTCTCTGTAGGGTTGAAGCCCCTTATAGTTTGTATAGCTATATTATGTTCTCTGCAGAGTTGAAGCCCTGTATAGCTTGGTTTGCAAAGATTAAACTGATTAATCTTATTGAAGACAACCCCAGATACAGTATTTGAGTCAAGTAGAAATATCAAGTAAATCTCCTAACTTCATGGTCTTTTTATATGTTTATCTAACAAGTTCTTCACCTATATGTGCCAGGTGTGTATGTAATATAGGTTTATTCTAGATTTTGTGCTAGTCATTACTCTTCTGTTATGTAAGTCATAATAGGTTAAATGCTATGGTATTGTTTATAGTTCACTACTTTTTCTTTCTTTTCTCTTTTGTCAGTTCCAGGGATCAAACCCTGGGCCTAGTTAGTTAATGCACAAATGCTAAGCAACCGCTCTACCACTGAACCATATTGCCAGCTCTGTAAGTCTCCTTTTCTGATATTCACCATCAGACTCACTTTTAAAACTTCACTGTGCTATATTATCATTATGAGTCCACTTTTTACCACAGCATGTCATTTTCCTTTGAGTATTTTACCTGAAAGAAATGTAAAATGTAGCAAATAGTGTGTGTGCATGTGCACATATATGTGCATGTTCTATGGACAATTGCTGTTCTATGGGTTTTGTTTTTGTTTAGCTTTTTGTTATTGTTTGTTTAGTTTTAGTTTTTGTTTTTTTTTTTGGTTTTTTTTTTCTGGTACCGGGAACCGAACTCACAACCTTGCACTTGCCAGGCAGGCGCTTTGCCGCTGAGCTAAATCCCCAGCCCCTGTTATTGTTTGTTTAGGCTTTGAAGAGGACTTAGATTACTGGAAATTGGCAGGTTATAATTTTCTCTTTTTTTGGAGAGAAAACTAAAAGATGTAAAATATCTCACTTTTTAAATGGGGGTAGAAATTTGTTTTCTATCCAAAAATAAGTCTTGCTGGAGAAATAGAAATTAATTTTCTCCTCTATGTATTTCCTTGACTGGGAATGGTGCTTTCGAATTTAATAGGGCCGGATCATACAAGGGATATGTTCTGGACAGTATTAAACATATATTTAAGCTTGTGGAGTAACCTTCCATTCTAACACAGGATATGTCTGACCCT